TATGGAATAAATTTATAATTTCAAGATTCTAGGATCTTAATATCTTCCCTCTCTTAAAATAATTATCATTTTTCAAAAACGTTTTCACTTAGCAAAAATTTATAAAAAAAAATTTATGTGTTATATATATTATTATAAGCATTAACTTCTGCCTGCCTGACAATAAAAAGTTTAGAATGAGAGATAGAAGAGAAAATGAGCAATCAAAGTCAATCTTTGTCAAGAAGTGGGACTTAGTATTAAGAACTTGATCTGAAAGAGCGCACTTACTTCGCAATCCAGTCCAAGAGCATGCATTATGCATGAATAATGTCGATCAAATGATGCGTTAATTGACTAGCTATGACCCATTGTTGACAGTCTCAAAACCACCCTTTGGCTATGAAAGACAAGACTATTGAACAGCGCATGTTCCATGGCAGTCCGGAAAGCATGGAGAGAGTTGGGGGGGAGGGGGGGGGGTAGGCGAGGGTTATCATGATCTTGAAATGGGTTGTATAATTTTCCAAAAGCAACTGAAAAAGCAGGACTTCTAGTCCAATCCCAGTCCACATACCTTGTCTTAGTGGCGGAAAAATCCAGAATAATGTTGCTCTATCAAGTCTATAACTCACTCCAGCTAGCTCAGAGAAATGACTCCAACACAATTCCTATGAAAAGATGTTATTGGGGGGGCAACCTAAAGTTTAGTCCTTGTTGTTGACTCCACTAAATGCCCATGTCCCTATAAATGTCAGCAATCTCATGTCACAGCTTAAAAGTTTTTGCTCTCTTTCTCTCTTGTTATGAAAAGTTGGTATCCTAATTCATATTTTTGTAATGTGTTTAATCAGTAAGGTACCCCAGAAAAGAAACCTATTTAGCAACCAACATGAACCCTTAGATTTTAATAATAATATCATTCCATGGCTATAATAGCCAGTAACATTTGTGCATGCCTTCTCTGTGCTTCAAAAAATCTAAATTTCTTGCGTTGGGTATTAGGCCAGAACGCCCCACCATTATGAAAGTGCATGACAACAAGACACTGTTTTTTAAGATCAATCATCCAACTCCATAGCCCCCACTCTTAGTCCACGTGAAGACATGTGGCTTCTACCCAATTGCCCACTTGGAACGCAAAGATGGGAGAACATCCTTCTTCCTCTTCGTTAACCTTTCTCTTCCATTTTTTTCTATATAAACAAACATTTACACTAAACAACCAAAGCACCCCAAAAGTTCATATCTATGAGAAAAATTAGAACAATAGCCACAATTGCTCTAGACCCAAGTTTAAGCCTCCAAATTGGCAGGGACTCGACCCAACGTGGAGCTGTGGTGGAAGAAATCGAAGGATTAATTAAAGTCGACAAAAACGGACATGTGGAAAGACCTCAGATGGTTCCACATGTCTCTACTGCTCTGCCTTCGGAGCTCGGCGTGACATCGAAGGATGTTACAATTGACAAGTTTACAAACATCTGGGCGCGTTTTTACGTCCCCAAATGCTCTTTTTCTGGAAGGCTCCCTTTGATTGTCTACTTCCATGGAGGCGGATTTTGTGTCGGCTCTGCTGCTTGGAGCTGCTACCATGAGTTTCTGGCGAAACTTGCAGCGAAAGCAAGCTGCATAGTCATGTCTGTTAACTATCGATTAGCACCGGAGAACCCTCTTCCGGTTGCTTATGAAGATGGGTTAAAAGCACTGCTGTGGGTAAAACAGGGGGCACAGAGTGGGTCTGGTGAAGAATGGTGGCAGGGGAAGTGCAATTTCTCTAACGTCTTCCTTGCCGGAGATAGTGCTGGTGCCAATATAGCCCACAATGTGGCTGCCAGATCCATTACACACTCCCTAAACCCATTAATTTTAAAGGGTACGATTCTGATTCAACCATTCTTCGGAGGAGAGGCGCGTACAGAATCGGAGAAGTACATGGTGCAATCTTCTCGGTCGGCCCTCACCCTATCGGCCTCGGATACATATTGGCGGCTAGCGTTGCCCGGTGGGGCTAACCGGGACCATCCGTGGTGCAATCCTCTGGCAAAGGGTTGGACGAAATCGGAGGAGCAAAGGCTGCCGCCCGCCCTCGTGTGTGTGTCAGAAATGGACATACTGAAAGACAGGAACTTGGAGTTGTGTGCAGCGCTGGCCAAAGCTGGGAGAAGAGTGGAGCATGTAGTGTATAAAGGTGTAGGACATGCGTTTCAGGTTCTGAGTAAGTCTCAGACCTCGCAGACTCGAACTCTCGAAATGATGGCTCACATTAAGTCCTTTGTTTCCTCACTTTGTTAAACCTTTGAGTGCGAGCTGTAAATTGGTATAATTAACGTCTCTAGCCCTAAGACTGATGGTAAGCGTGCTTAGTGAAAGCTTTCTGTATATGTTAAAGCGGTATTATATACAGTCAATGTCATTGAAGTTTGTATGCTTAATTTTTTAAAATGCATAGCTTTTTTTTTTAAACATAAAAGGTTATCTGTTTGATATAATAAATTTTTAATCGAAGTTTTAAGTTATTATAGGTACCAATTCGGTCAAATATTTATTAGTAGATGTAATGTGTAGGTAATAATTGATTTTTTTTTTTCTTTTTGATTGCTTAACGAAAGACAATTATTTTTTATTTTTTATCTTATTTTAACCGCATGGCATACGACTCAAATTTAGAATCTTTTACTTCTAACGAACGAAATGATCACTAAATTATTTAAGTTGTTGGTAGTTGTTCTTTCACTTAAACCGCTGCATCTAGTCTTTCATTAGTTGCCGCCCTAGTTCTCGTTTGGCCCTTTATTGTTCACCTATAAAGCTGGTTAAATGTTTTCAGCTTCTTGTATTCTTGATACTTGATAGCATGACGTTGATCAATCCCATATGAGAGCTGAGAAAATATTTTATATCAAAATAAAGAAATTATAATATTTCACATATATTATGGGCCAGTTATAGTGCTTTATGATATGATTTATTTGGTATCTCTCTTGTTTCACGACTATATATAATTCTTTTTTTGTTTTTCTATATATTCATGGAAATTGTATGAATTTCATTTACTAATGGAAGAATAAATTTACATCTTTTACGAAGAATATATGAAAGCCATAAACTCTAGCTGATCGTATCTCTTGTCATGACTACATGGCTTGAGGGTTAGCAAGTTCTTCATCCTTTTAAAAAGCTTTGGATGGTGGTGGTCAAATCATGGATAAGATTATGTTAGTAGATGAAATGATTCATTTTGCCATAAAGGAAAGAAGGGTGATCATGGTTATGATATGTTTGTCCTTTATAGACCTTTTTTTTTATGGAAGTTTTTTTTGTAAGATACTATATGTTAGCACATTCCTACAAAATGTAATTAAAATAAACGAATAAGTTTCAGGCCATGGCTACTAAACTTTTGTGGTCTTATATATCAAATGGGAAAAGAAATTCTAAAATTGGTTAAATTTTATCTTAGTTTTACAAAAGGTCTTGTCCTCTGCTTGATCTTAAAGAAATTAATATATATATATATATATATATAAAAGTTTGGAATTCACAATTTCAAAAGGTTAAAAGAAATAGGAGAAATTAAAATGACTTGGCTCAAATATTTAAAAATTATTCACAAAAAAACATGTTCAATTTTTATACATATATGTTTTGATCTTTTGATAATGAGGATTTTATAATTAACTTTACAATATTTATATGATATTGAATGAGTGGATGCATATATTATCGTCAGTTTCACTTAAATTAAAATAACCAATAAAAATTACAATCACATAATATTTCATTTTCAATAAATTATTTTTTGTATGTGTATATATTAATTGAACAACAAATACTTTCCATTTATATTTTAATGGGTTGTGCTACAAACAAGGGGTAGCACTTTTCTTTTTTAAATTGTCTCCACCATCTTAAAGTTAAGATTTAAACTTTGATACTACATACACTTTAATTACCTTACAATGTCAAACTCAAATCCGTTCAGACAAATTAAGGAAATATACTCCACTAGTGATTTCGTTGTCTAGTACTTAAATCTATTTTGGATCAACTGACTATATCTAGGAATATATGAAAATAACAGCAAAAGGATCTGATCAAAACCTTATGCATCCCAATATATATCCCCACAAGACGAAGATGATTTGACTCCAGCTAGTGGTTACTCTAGTCAAGGGGTACGGATAACACGTCCTCGCAAGGTCCAAGGCTTAGGCTTCCTTAGCAAACTCGCTGCCTGACCTCTTCAACTTCATGCATGCTAAGATCATCTTGCTCAAATGAGTGTTCCAGGGGTGAAGTTGCAGGATCATTTTCCTGAAAATATTAGATTCATCTTACGCTAATAAATGTTTTTTTTTTTGTTAGAGTCCCAAGAAACAATTTAAGAACATTAACTAAATATCTAAAAAACGTAATAAACTCATGAATATGATATCAAATTAAACCATCATGAGAAAAATATTGAAAATAAAACAAGATTTCCATTATTCTTCAATTACCTCTGTTTGACAATAATTACAGTCTGGTTTTTCGTCATCTTCTTTGGATGCTTCCATGCCCTCGGAGGATGGAGACTTCACTTTAGTGAGTTTGAGGGTTGAGGATGGAAATGGAACAGCATTGGAGCCTAGATATATATAGGTAACATTTAACAGAGATTTGGTAATTGAGAACCTTTCTCTCTTTATTTTTCATTTTTTTGTATCGACATATGGTGGTTGAGATCTAACACCTAACTCCTCCAGGCTTCAGCCGCCAGTCCGAGGTGTTTATAACAATAAAAGCGCTTCAACATCCAAAATCAACCTCCCATCATAGTAAATTAACCAAACCAGCTCCCTGATTTCTTAGTATTTATGTACGTAATTAGAAAAGTCATATTTGCTCAAACATAAATAATTATTGGTAATTACTAATTTCCTTTTAAAATTGAAAGTACAGGGTTCTGTGTCCCAAGTGATATAATATGCAGATGGGAAAAGTTGGAGCTAGAACTTGGATTCTTTTTCATACATGACTGGCAATGGTATAGGTCTTTTGTTATTGTTGATATTAGTAGTCTATTAGGATGTTTGAAAACATCATTTTATATGTTGATTTCAAGTTATGCTATCAGTTATCAGCTAATAACTATTCACAATTGCTTTTAAGACACTGATACATATATACATATATTCTTATATTCTTTAAAAGTTATACCTTCTGTGTGTAGTTAAAATTGATGAAAACTGTTAGTTTTAACAGTAGAAATAATGAAAATTGTCAATTTTAACGATATACTAATGGAAATCATCAATATATAATAGAGTGTATAACTTTGAAATATATATATATCAATTTTCTTATTCTTAATAATTAAATTAAATATAACTATAATTATAATATATATCACCTGAAACTATAAACTTGTAATCACAATATATTATTAAATTAATAAATATATACAATATTATAAATAAATTATATGATATTATAAATTATATAATTTTCCATATATCTATATCATTTTCAATACACGGGGCAACTCCCTTTCAACAGTGCCCAAACATAAAAGGTCATTTCTCGGGGGGTGGGTCGTTGAACTTGCCACGATTCTCCATCTTTAGTTCCTTATGTATAAACATGAAATAGGAAGCAGCTACTCTGCTTGCAATTCTTAATGGAGACTGGGGAGTAGCAACGGGTAGGTGTAGGTTAGACTTGCGCATTTTAAATTGCCACAACCAAAGGGCAAGCTACAATTAAAACCTTCGTTTTCACAGCGCTTTACATAGGTTGGCCTTTTTTTTTTTTAATACAGTATCATATC